AACAAGCTAGTTAGGTTTTCATAATAAGCAAATAGCACAAACTGTATATGTATTTGTGGCATACAGCCTTACAAATGCATGCAAAAAAAAAAAAAAACAGTGTGTGGGTGGTGATGAGAGAGAGAGGAGATAAGGGGCTAGTGCTCCAAGTCTCATTATATTGCACTGAAGCCTCAATACACTCAAAAATGACCAAACCAATATGAGTTATCATCAGAGATGAGTTATGAGCTGTCGTATGGAAGCATATGCAAATATACATGCATTTATAAAACCTTTTGCTTAAAACAAAAATGCAAAATTCAATAATGACACTGAAATTTGATATTAGGTATAGCAGTGGGCGATATAACAAAATTAACATATCACGATATTAGGTATTTTTTGATACCCAATATGCATCATGCTGTATAGGTTTAGTAACCAACTGCCAGAAGAACAATAGTGTTGCAAAAAAAAAAAAATCTATGAAAAACTTTAACATGTACATTGTCTACAAAAATAAATTACTTAAACTAAATAAATTACTTAAACAAAAAATTCTAATATTTTAATAAATTCCAACAATAAATAAAAAATACATTTTACAATTTTAAAGGTTAAATACAGAATTTTAACATCAACCCAGTTGCTTCAAATCAGAGTTTGTTATTGCAATTTTTAATAAAATGTTAGAAGATGATGATCATGATCGTGCTACTTGCGATATGTATCGTGACGTAATTTACCATGATTTATGTATTGACATTTCTTTTTCACAGAGAAATATTCTTCACAAATATCTTTATTTAAATGAAAGTGATAACTGGAAAATGCTGTAATGGTCTCAAAACAATAAGTGGTATGTCATTTACCTTATTTGAGACGTTTGAAATCAACATATTTAAGACCTCACACAAAATTTGACAAAATTTAAATGTAAAGAGAGAAACAGGGCCTTTCCTGATTATTTTGCTGCAAAATAGCTTTGCAAGCTGATTAGATTTTAATTTACTTCTATATGCCTCCAGTCAGTCGGCTCATCAGGGCAGAGCCATAGCATGCTGAATGGAAAAGATTGCCCCAAAATGTCAATACAAATAGACTAAATAGCAAATGCAAATGCAAATGACATTATTGAATTTAATTCTTATGTTGAGCAATAAATTGCATATTTCCATGCAACTGAAAAATATAAAATGCATAGCTAATTTACATATTACATATTAGATTTTTTATTGTACTTGCAGGAAGCTTTGATCCTGCAGCAGCTCCAGTGCAAGGCTGAATACAGGCGCAGCTAATGCTTGTGCTAAAGCTTTCTAACAGACCTTCGTTTCATTGTGTGTAAGGATGTAAGGACTTATTCATACTTGTTTGGCCCCATTATGGATACAGACAAAAAATTCTATGCATTTTATTGGAGAACTAAGCATGCAGTGCTGGGCAGAGCAGCAATTCTCACCAGTTAAACATACACAAGTTATTTGTTACACACTTAGGTGCACGCATACCTTCATTCAAGTTCACCTTAGTATGATTCCTACACATTCCAGAAAAAATTGCATGCATACCAAGAGCCTATACCACACACCTAGGCATGCTGGCGCACAGATACACACATACACACCTACACTCCAAGACAGCAGTGGTGAGATAACTTCTAACTTTGTTTTGACACTTTTGATTAAGGACCATTGAAGGGACACCTGTACTGTGGCAGTGAACAATGGCTGGGCCCCAGGAGAGATTGATTTTCTGCATGAGAAAAGGAGTCTTTGTCTAAAGCCACAAGCTCCTTTCTTATGCTAACGAGTTATGGAAGATTTCCAAGTCAATTTCACCTGAGCGTTGGTCAGCTCTCCACTCTTTTGTGTGCTGTCCCTCGAGCCCCTCTAGCACACATGCGCAGACACACACACACTCGCTCCCCCATCCTTTAAACTGCAATTTAGCTGTGATGGGTGGGTAGACCAGGGGGAGGAAGATGGAAGATTGACAGGTGGCTAGGAGCTTCCTCTGTGATATCTCTGAGGCTCTTTACCACACAGAGCTAGACTGGAGTACATACATTTCCTTCAACAAAAGGCCAATAAGGCCTTGCTTTAAAGAGAGGAACAGAAAGGACTTGGTGATGATCTAAAATGTTCTAATTTATATAAATTAATGCATAGACCTGTGCAACTGTGTATGTATCGGTTTCAGTTTGAATTTAAGCTTTCGAAAAGGATAATATGTTTTGTCCCTTCCCAAGTACATTAAAAACATTTGGATTAAAATCCATATCCAGGCTTTCTCATGATCTAAGATGCCATAAGTACAGAGCAGATTATTGGTAAGATGCTTTAGGTTGCTTTTCCTTGAACATATTCAGAATTCTGACGGCAACCTCTCATTCCAGACACTGAACTCTGGTCAATTTTTGGCTGTGATGTAAAGCGTATGATAAACATTATTATATTTTACTACAGGGTAGCTTTCTAAAATGCGTCATCTGATAGTTGGATGGATTGAAAAGACAATTACGTTAATGCAACATAACAAGGGGTGAAATTCAGCACATGTATTAAATAAGGACTTGATGCTTATTCATTATCTAGTTCACGTTTCTGCCTTCTTTTGTGCAAATTTTGGTGGTTTATTATCCTGTAGGTTTTTACATAGACTGGATACTACTGTTTGAAATTTTGGTAAATAGCATGTGTACTAGAACAGTCACAAGATTGAGCAGAATTCAGACATGCTAAAAAAAAAAATCATGTGCATTTTTAATCACACAAGAAGTACACCATTCTGAATATATATTTATACATGCACAAGAGGACAGTAAATGTTGGCATCTGACTTCCTTTACCAAATTTCTCAATAGCAAAAAAAAAGTATTCTGTGTGATTTCTGAAATAATAGTTCCCCTCATAAAGCTGACTATACTTGAAATGGCTGAGAGGTATTGTGCAAGTGAATACTATAATATTTGATTAGGATTTCTAATGCTTCGAGTATAGGCATAAAATGGAGAGAAAGTACTGATACTAACACAATGCATGCCCTAAATCCTAAAATTAATATGTGAGATAAAATGCTTGAATAAGCTTTTATTAAGCCTACTTCATAACAGTACCATTTCTAAAGAAATTCAGCAGACATTCATGGTGTGAGGCTCAATAGACCTAGTAGCACTTAATTAATTTCTCTCACCAATAAAGCTGATGGAACAGCATACAATAGCAAGTGGGCAAAACTACTGAAACAAATGAGCAAGTCATAATTTGCTGAGCTGCAAAGAACTAGAAAATTACTGACTTAGATAAGCCAAATGGCATCAAGCTTCAAAAATAGTCATATTGTATAATGCAGAATTTACTTTCAGTATTTTCAGTATTTTAGTTGTCATCAGGTTTAAATTATTTCTTATAAGGTAGACTGCAGTTGACAGTGGATAGTTTTTCTCTGTGTCGGTTCTCTGTGTTACAGTTGCGTGGTTTTTTTTTTTTGTTTGGTTTTTTTTTTTGATTGGATGGTGTATGTCGGGTGGAGGAAAAAGTCGGAAAAAGTTCCGATGTCTTTTGCTTACAAGTGCATTGTTGCATTCTTTCTTAAATCTAGCAATAAACTATTTGGAATCTCATATGACTTTAATGCTTATGGTCATGAGTTTAATGATTGGCAAAGCAAGACTTTTGATGCAAAATGTACAATTATGCTGTTGTATCATGCAAAATTGACTGAACCATTGACAATTTTCACTTTGGCACCCCGGCCGATTTCTAATTAATTTGTCACTTATTTCAGCTAATTAGAAGACATTTTTATTTTTATCACATGACTTTATTAGAGAATGTGGTGCCACTGTAAAAGCAACATAATCCTGCCTGAGGAACTGTTATATTTAGCATTTAGGGTCTTATAACATAGTAGTGAATATGAAAAATAATTAAGGTTGTTTGATGCTGAATCATTGCATGACTGGTCTTTAAGCTGTGCATTTAATTTGGTCTTAAATCATTAAAAATCAAATGTAAAATCAGTTGAGAGGAATGCTGTCTCCTGTGGCTCTCGGTTCCTTGCTCTGAACTGAATCAGTGACATGCTCATCTCTAGTATACATTTGGTCCAGCAGGCTCCTCTCATTGCAGAGGCACATGAAAATTGTTTTAAAGAATAAAAAAAGAAAGAAAACAAATATGGTTCCTCCTGGGCTTGCTGTTTTTGGTAAAACTCCAATCCCTTAAGATTTTTTAAAATTCTAATGCTGATTCTATGCTTGCCAATCTCAAGAACAGGATTTCCTTGGTCAGCCAATCTCTCCTTCTCTCTTCTCTCTCTGTTTCTCCAAACTGCTGGAAGCAAGATTAAGGATATCCAAATTCTGCCTCCGTGTTAGTAGCAAGATACAACCCCTCCTGAAACCTTCAGATGGGAAAAAAAAAAAAAAAAAAAAAAAAAAAAAAAAAAAAAAAAAAAAAAAAAAAAAAAAAAAAAAAAAACAGCATTTAACATTCAACAAAAATCTGTTTATCACTTTTCCAAACATAATCTTGTTATTTTGTATATTTTCTTTCTGAAATTAATTTCAGCTTTTCATTTTGAGACCAAGATATTGAGGTTCCTTTGCAATCAGACAACAAATCAAGAGGAGAAGACACAGGGGGATTTTTTCTTTGGTCACTCAGAAGGACTTGGATCATTGTCCTGCCTTGGGCCTGAGCTGGTCAAGCTGGTGGCTTAGCCAGCTGTTATTTTCCAGCTTCCCTATTAAGTTGGAGATTGATTAATGAATGTTTGACATTTTCTAATGGCCATGCTGTTGTGTAATTGTCTTGGAACAACTAGTCTCCGATGTTGTGTTTAGGAATAAGTCACACATATTTTTCTCAACAGCACTATCTACTAGCATTTATCAGCCTGGCCCTTCTATTGGCAGCTGCTAGGTCAGATCAGGCTGGATTTTTAGGTGTTAAATATTAAGTATTAGTCTCTTAATTTAATATAAAATCACCAGGTGTATTAAATAATATGGTGGCACGGTGGCTTAGTGGTGAGAATGTTTGCCGTGCACCTCCAGGGTCAGGAGTTCGATTCCCATCTCTGCCCTGTGTGTGTGGAGTTTGCATGTTCTCCCCGTGCTTTGGTTTCCTCCGGGTGCTCTGGTTTCTTCCCCCAGTCCAAAGACATGCTTGGTATCTCTGAATTGTGCGATTGTGCCCTGTGAGGTTGGCTTGAGTACCGAGTCCCCTGGGAGAGGCTTCAGGCTCCATATGTCTCTGCGTAGGATAAGTGGTGCAGAAAATTGATGGATCTCAGAAGCAAAATCTTCTATCTGGCCAGTATATTGCAGTGACTTTATAAAGCCTGCTGTGATTGTGCCCATGACAATACTTCAGAGCAGCAAGTAGTTGTTTTTTAACTGTTATGTGGCTAGAGCATTTTTGTTTTTGCACAACATCGTGTTTAAATTTTAGGTGATGGCATGCTTTACTGCCTGAGTAGAGTTGAAGGCTGATTGAAGCTGTAACTGCATCTCTTGCAATATGCTCCTATGTTGACCACCGGTGGCCAAACCAGAAGTGATACAGAACGTTGCTGTTTAGTAATGATTCCAAAATGATCACATGATTTCTGGCAATGTCCCAATGTTTTCATATGTAGCTGGAGAAAAGAAAATCATGAGAGGTAGGATCAGGTTAGTGTGTAGTATGTTAACTTTAATAAAGCAGTGTTCAGTCTATGGAATCCCATTTTATCACATTAGTCATGCTTAGCCACAGGCTTACTGGTCAGATAGACATCAGGGAATGGGGAAAACTCTGAGCAGATAATGCAGAGGGAGAATTAGGGGAGAATGATTGGACACCAAAAACAGACTCCAGTTTGAGTGTTATTGCACACTGGCTAACTTAGCAAGCTTGGTGATGAAAGCATGTGTTATGGTGAGAGAGAACCACTCGAGCGTGCTAGTGCTACGTATTCACAGGTCTGCTGATGAGCTAGATGGAGGTGGTGGCAAGGGAAAACCCCAACCTGGCAGGAATAGAGAAAGGTGAGCAGCATCATAGGGCTAACTAGTGAACAGCGCAATGAATATGAAAAATGTATGAAAAATGCACTTACCCTGGCAGAAGAGATGATAGGAGTCTATTACCAGGTTGGGAGGACAGGGTACCTGTGGCTCTGACCGTGGTCACAATTTGTTGTGCACATTTGGACTGACTGAGATTCAGAAGAAGGAATTTAAAGGTGGCTCTATGACAGCAGAATTTATTGCAAGTCCTGCCTCAGTTCATGACTTTGTTTTTAGGCCTTGACATGCATTAACACATGCACAAAAAGGTGTCCAGGGGATTCTCACCAGCCATGGCAGTTAGCAGGGGTGAAACGAACCACCATTAAGAATGTACTGTAGTTAGCACATTTCACATGTTCAGCTTGTGTGGAAAGATTTTAAAATAAATATAGGCTTTTGCTTATAAAATAAATAATGTCAAAGTGGTAGGCTGCACAGGAAAAATCTGGTCTCTGGTGTGCTCCTAAGTCAAAATTCTACTTGCATTTTTTTTTTAAAGGATCAAATGTGAGCAAAGCAGTGTAAAGCATCACAGAACCCTGGTTTATGAGTAGATCATTTTTACTGATCTTATTTTACTAATGAAATGAAAATTGCTATACTAATGAAATAGTATAGTAAATACTAATGAAAATTTTGATCTGATGACAATGGACAGTTGTTCACTTCTGTTCACAGGTCTGTTCATTGCTCCCCTTGCTATACTATCTTTAATACTCATTGAAGTTATCTTGCACTGCCACTGGTTTTCTTTCTGAGACACCAGACATCTTAACCAGTCATTTTCCTTTCATCACTGGCAGAAGGATGCAAAGCTGATATGCGATCTCAAGTTCATGTCTCAGGTCAGCAGTTACCTGAAGGTCCCCCTCTGAGTGAGCATTATGGAGACAGGTAGAGGAGCCAGGTCAGCTAGAGTTACACCTGTTCCTGTTAGAGGTTTGTGTTGAGTGCATCCCCACCCTTTTCCACCCTCACCTCAGGCATCACTGAGACTAATGCTCTCATCTAGAGGTTTTCATTCTGTTTCCTATAAAACATTGTTTGAGAATATCAAAAGGGAAATACAGTGGTGTAACACACAGGTGGATGTCATTTATCTTTTTAGATCAGAAAAAGCTATTTCTATTACTGGTCAATCTTGAATAGATTTTTTTTTATTATGCCTCTGGTCATAGAATGGTTTTTAAAGTGTAAAATCAGCAGCCCTCAGTTTGTGAGAGTGTAAAAGACAAATTTTTCTGGGTAATATACTCTTAAAGTTCTACAGCAGGGGTATTCAACTAAAATTTGTAAAGGACCAGTTACATAAAATTCCTTACTAACAAAATGTCCGGATAAACCACTAACATGACTGAATGGCGGTGACACTTACCTCATAGATAGTTCATGTCCATAAATAAGACAGTTCGAGGAGGTTATATTTTGTTTAGCAGTGGTGCGTCACTTCAGCTATATAATTTACAATAAATATATGTGATTGGATAACAGAGCACCAGCTACTCTGGTTCATGTTTACAAAATGTTTTTTGGCTCTGCTACAGTATTTTTTCAAGTACTCATTTGATTCAGCTGAAATACTTTGCTGGGTCCACATCCAGACTGTAATCCACCAGTTGGTGACCCCTGCTCTATAGTGCCTTTATATAGTGTATTGTATTAATCAATTATTAGTAGTCATGCATTAACTAGTTGTAACTGTCTGTTGATTTGATTCTTTGTACTATATGCTTTATACTTATTTTGTCTGCCTGAGAAACTTTTGTTGTTGAATTGTTCTCCACACTGTATATTTTGGTTGGCTGTGTATTGCTGGGCTGTGTATTTTAACATTGTGCTGCAGCACTGGTGTATAGTGGTGTTGGAGTGTTTATTGGCATGTAATGAGATCATCCCTCTGTGCTGCTGGCTATCAGAGAACACCATCAGTGAAGAGAGTAGATGATCCATAGGGAGATGAGAGGCCTAATCCTCCTCTTTCCTTTCTCCCTTTCTCTTTCTGCTTAAGGGAATCTCTCTCTCTCTCTCTCTCTCTCTCTCTCTCTCTCTGTCTCATATTCTGCATTATTATATGCTGCTTGGCTTCCTTCCTCTGCCTCTCCCAGTGCCAGCCAGTGGGAAGATGAGGCAGCAGTGGAATTTAGAGTCTAAATATACTCACCGTGGGTAAACATGTCCGCTCATACTGAGAGAGAGAGAGTACTCTAATCCAAGCGGCCTAAGAGAGATTAGAGATTTTCGTTTATAATCCACTTGGGTTTACTCTAAGAGAGTGTGCCTGTGCTGTTTATTTTATTTTTTAAAAAGTAATTTTTTTTTTTTTTTAAGTTTGCCATTTTTACATTTAATTAGAAGGCTCATATACATATTGTCCACTAATGATAATATGTACTGACGTGGAATTTGCACTGTATGATGTCATGAACGAGTCCTTTCTTGCATGACTGGTATCCACTTGTCTGGAAATATAGTCCAGCTCTCCACAGGAATTTAATCTACTGCGATTTTCCATTAAAAAAACACTTCTTAAAATATTATTATTGTGTAAGATCTCTGAGCTCAACATGGAAACCTATAAGAGATAGGAGCTTCATGTTTTTATATTTTTTGGAATAATGCATTCAGTGTTCTAGAGAGAAAAACCCCAAAGATGACATACAGGGTCTTACACAAAGTGTGGTTGTTTATCGATTTGTTTTTATCTTTTATAGATTTTTACAAATATGATACAAATGTGAATATGGTCTCAGGATAGGTCTGTATTGTGATTGTCTACTGATATTTTATTCGTTTATTCTCTTTACACACTTAATGAGACTATTTGCCATAGTGTTACTTAAAATGAAATCCTTGTGTTTTTAGAAAATTTAAGACCCTCAATGTGTTAAATCATACAAGCCGTATTGTATCGTACTGTACTATACCGTATTATAAGTCCTTATATGGCACTAGCCTTTTTTTTGTGTGCTAACGCTGAGATATGAAATTCTATCATTTACACTCGAGTCTCAATAATAAAATAGAGTTGTGTGTTTTTGTCCCGGCAGGACGCAGTGTGCTACAGAACTGTGGCATCTCCACAGCTGAGCACAACAGCCCCTGTTTTCACGCAGCCGCTGATTAGTTTAGTGTCGCCTGATTAGAAATTAATTAAAATGATGAAACAGGCTCCTGGGGGGAGGATGTGGCTGATGACTTTCATGCAACCATTATGCCTCAGTCCAAGGGGATGTGTTTGTGTGTGTGTGTTTGCATGTGTAAGATAATCACACAAACGTTTTGTGCGTTTTGGAGAGACTGTGTGTGCATTGTAGAATCCCCTCCCCCATCTCTTGTTGTCTCTTTCCCACTATCTTCAACAGCAGCTTCCGAGAAACCCTCTTCATTACTCCATCTCCCCTACATGTTGTCTTTTAAACCTCCTTCAGCTCCTTCTCCGTCTTTTGCTCTCTCTCAGATCAATACTGGAAATTTTCTCATTCCATAGTTTTCTTTTCTCTCCAGTCCCTACCTGTGCTTTGAAGCCTGACAGATATGCATTACAAACATGAGCTTAAAATAGGTGTTTGTCTCCCAGTGCATTTGTGTATACATTTATTATGTGAACAGGGTATCAGTTTGAATCTTGGAGTGCAGGAGCCAGCAGCCCTGCAGCAACGCTTAAAAAAAAACCAAATTGAAATTAATTACCTGAATTGTTTTAATGAGCACAGTAAGTATTATGTAATGGTAAATGCTATGTCGTATTAGGGCGTGATAACATCAGCCTTATGGATGGTGCACAAATTGCTACTCCATAAGCGGTTTATACAGCTGTTGCGTTTCTGTATTTCACAGCTGAATGAACCTGTAATTGGAGCCTAATGAAGCCCTGAGGGGCTGGGTGGCAGCGAGCGAACACTCCGCTATTTATTTAACTGTGGACTCTTCAGATTAAAAGGCTTCAGTGTTTACCCCATGGCTCAGTGGATCATCTTTTCAATTTAGCTTGACAAGCGCTGAACAGCAATCCCTCAGAGGCACACTCAAT